CGTGTCGCCATCAAGAAAAGAGCTAATCGGCTGATAATTCTTGTCCTTGCTTTATTCCAACATAAGTAATATCGAATTCACTTGTCGCTATGCGTAAGTTGTTATCGCCTGTAGAATAGCTCAGGAAAACTAATTTTTGAGACGGTTGGAACTACTACAATTTCTGTGCGGGAGTAAAAATGTGCACATATTAGGCCATTACACTTTCAGCACACTCACATCCTTATCCACTAAAAAATTTTACACAAGGGAAGTTTATGTTTAGGGAAGTGACTACCTCCACAGAATGAATTTCGTGGGCACAACTGCTTTTTAGCATTTTGTGTCTTATATTTTCAGCATTTTAATGAGACGTTTGAAGGAGGTGCTTTCGAAAATTCTCACAGTATTGATATAGATGCAGATCTCTTGGAAAAGCGCTGCGTTAAACACAAGTCAATCGGGGAATAGATAAAACTTTCAAAACAGCCTTGTATTTCTTGCTTACATCATTCTGTAGAATTTAACTTTGTCCAAAAATAGAAATTTTATAACGTTCATCCTATTACTTGAGAAATATCCTGACTTTATCATGCATCAGGTTAGTGTTCAGGACTTTTCACAGGATACTCGACAACCAGTGGAGTACCTAATTTTAGAATCTTTACGGCCATGGAAGTTTGCAGATGTTTGCCTTTTAAGATCAAGCCTTTCACAGACCAACCAACAACTTTAGATAGAATAACCGCTGCTACATCTAGTATATTCAAATAGCTCTGAAACAAAAAATGGAGGTTAATTTCTATTCAGGCAGCGGAAAGCCTCTGGAGCAGGCTCATTGCTAGATATTTGTTTAACGAAATCAAGCCATAACGTTGGGCATTTAATATTTGAATCATTCAAATTCGAATTTTGGTAGATTTCGAGACTCAAATATTCGAGTGATTAATATATATTTACACGTGAGCGAACATTAAACAATTCGACATCGAATAATTAATTATGGTCGACTATTTGATATTTGAGTAATCGAGTATTCGACTATTCATATACAGGATGTCCCAAAAGTTGTATGCACTGTCTGATCGTTAATATCTGTCTTCCCAAGGAGTCTTTTGCCTTACTTCAGGTACCGTTTTGTAGAGCTGGCTTTAACTTAGATTTGCTTTGTAGAAGAAATCATCCATCTCTCTTCATTACTGTAGGATTACGGTAGAAACTTGAAACATATGGTGTCAATGTGGAAAAAGCTGCCAATTCAAAATTTTTCAAAAAAATGTAAAAACTTGTGTAATAGGTTTTTATGAACGCTGAGTTCAATACTCTACTATTCACAAGTTTCCTAAACGGTGTAACCGCACTTTTTAGGAACATTGAAAAAATGGCCGCTACATCTTACCCGACATAACTCTTTAATGAAGCATCATAATAATTTGAGAACTTTACAGTTAGAATCAACAACTCTAGTTAGCCTAGTGTAAAAGCTTCCAGGTTGTTTTGTTCCCTTTCTGGGGCAAAATATGGTCTTTCATTCCTCAAAACCCTCTTTGAAGTTTCTACCGTAATCCTACAGTGATGAAGAAAGACGGGCGTTTCTTTTTATAATGGAAATCTAAGTTGAAGCCAGCTCTACAAAACGGTACCTGAAGCAAGGCAAATGACTTCAGAGAGATATTAACGATCAAACAGTGCATACATACTTTTAGGACACCCTGTAGTTAGAATAATTCTGTGGTTTAGCCAGTCAGGTTGATTTTTTCTGTTGTAATTTATTGAGGTGAGAAGTGGTGCTTGAACATTTTACGATTTTTGCAATCAGATATAAAATCGGTCCGGAAGTTTGCGCTTTTTTTGGACACATCCTTACATTACTCAGAGTATTGATATAGAGTTGCTCTAAGCAGTGTTCAATGTAAAATATCTCTTTATTTTTAGCAGTAATGTTTCAATTTCTTTCTTTAAGTGATCGTTTGGACAATCGAGCGTTCAACCCACGGTTTCCACTTCCCTAAATTCAGCTATTTTTTTATAATATTACCAGTGATACATTTCTAGGCAAGATTTGTGGTGCGCTGCATCCGTTTCATATGTTTACACCACATGGTAAAAAAGCTCCTTCCTGTCAAGTGTCCTTGAAATTGCTAGGAAATTTAGGCATGTTGGTAGGTGGTTAATCTCTTCTTAACCAGATCCCCCAAAGCTTGGAACGATTCCAGGTTCTCAGGAAGACGGCAAGCCTTTCATGGTTTTCCGCCATCCAAGTACCCTAGACGACTTGCTACGTCCTTTTAAACATGGCTTGAGCTCTAGCGCATTTCTTTTTCGCACCCTGCTTGAAATATTTGCCAAACTCATTTTTTGATAGAGCTAAGAGGAAAATTTGCCTTGTCAGCATTTATCGCACTCTTGAGAAACTCAAACAAGTTTTGGTTACTTGAAAAGGAAAGTACTGTACAAACTCATAAATCAGTATTTTTGGCAGCCGTCAAAGTTAGCCCTCCGTAGCGCTCTCTTTGACCTTGCGTTTTAGGTTGTGAAACATTGTAAATTTTTTCTACGTGCCGACACGAACATCTTGATTATAGTAGATGTAAAGAGGTGAACTTTGAGCTTGCAAGGAAAGTGCTACTATCAGGTCTCCCATGCAGATTTGGGTACGTTGTCTATATCTGCGGCTGTGGTCTTCTCCAGCACTACCCAGCTAAACGCAACTAGCTTCAACAATAAAAAAAAATCACGTTTTGACAACGAGAAAGAGCTTTGTCATGCTTCGTGTTTCTCCTGTGTAATGAAGTATTCCAGAACTCTCACAAAACTTTTTCGTAATTCAGCACTTTGAACTTCTAAATCACCCACCTTTGAATATAATTCCTGTTTGAAAGGTATTGCCCACGCCCAATTTCTTTGACTTAAAGGCAGCGTCCAGGCAGATCCAAGCTCGACGACCACGCCCACTTCCCTCGGACCAGGGCCCGGCACCGATGGTTTGGGGTCAAACTGGACTTCGTTTTGGAGTTAGAAGCAACGGGGACATCGTTTTTATGAGGTCCTGGAGGAAGCGCTAAAAAGACATGACGAACATGTAGATTTCACGAGTTGAACGTGTTCTTTCGCAAGCGCGCGAATTTCAAAGGCAAGACTCAAACAAAAAAATGGCTTGTTTACATCGCACAAACAATCACTTGGCTCCGAATTTGACTATGTGTATACAATATTACTCCAAACTATGTTATGTAAAAAGTTCCCGAAACTTATGTGTCCTAATATCCGTTTTCGAATTTGTTGGTTTCTAGACCAACTACCAAACCAACTGGGTTGGTTCGGAGCATAGATATTGGAGAGTTCACATAAGTTTTGGACCTTTTTGATTCGGACGATTAGAACGGTCAAAAATCCATCATATAGTGAAGAGAGCGGATCAAGCCGTTGCCTGTCCCCTTTTTTGAGTCAAAAGTAGTATAATTCTACGCGTTGATAGATATCGCGCTCCAATCACTTGCGGTGTCCTTTGAAATATGTGGCGAAAAATGCATCGCAGAATTGTTGTGGCTACAGATTTGGTTGGTATAGGAGATTTTCGACATTCCCAGCATCAAAATGGTACTATACCCAATGGCAGAGCCTTTAGTCGACTCGAAATGTTTTTGCTTGTTATATTACATACCTGAAAATGCGCTTTTTTCGCTTTTTTTTTGCTATTTTGGTTAAGTAAAAGTTTCCCTACTAATTTTCACGTCGAGAGGGACTTCGTAAATTTTTGCGAAGTCATGATAGACTTCGTTTCCTAAAAACCTCCAAACCAACGCGTGCCGGGCCCTGCCTCGGACGGCCAGCCTCTTATGAACGAAATCTCCTCAGCCTTGACATGTTTTGACAAATACAGTCAATTTACAGCGTTTACCAGGTGGTTTTTTGAGAAATTCACCCTTTTTCAGTTCCATATCCGGAATCAGCGCCATGGAAAGGCCTGGATGACATAAAAATATAGAAGTCGAGAATTTGCCTAAACGCTGCCTTTAGGGTTTTCCTTATTTTTAGTTATTTTCATAATTCTAGTTTATCAACTAGCACAAAAGTCCCATAAACAACTAGTTATTTTCATAATTCTAGTTTATCAACTAGCACAAAAGTCCCATAAACAACCCTTTCCTCGAAAATTTTCTTTGGCAGGCGCGGACGGGTGGAACACAGATGTCGCCGGAAGGAGCAGGAGGCACCCACATCGGTCAAAACGGTCAGAGTGAAAACGCTCAATGGGCGGAACGGACACAGGAGGTGAAGCAACCATTGCCATATGCCTCCTTCCAGTTTCTCTTTCTCATCGAAAGCACACTTCTGCATGGCATGCACTTGCTTCATGTGCGGTTCCACGATCGTATAGCACCGAAATCTCATTATCCTAGCTTCGGGCGGTGCTTTCAAGAGATTGTGCCCGTCGAAGTTAGATCACCGGTTGAATATTAATTCTGTGGTAAATACTTAACTTCACAAATCTTGATTTTGGAGTCAGCGCTTTGACAGCTTGTTCCGCCAATCCGCGCACTTCCCATGTGTATGATCAATGTTCTTGCTTCAGTCTCGCTTCTTTTTAACTTATAATTGAAAGCTGACAGCTCGTTGGGCTTCAGTATTTCAATTTAGAAAAAAAGCGCCTATTAACAAATTTCCTACAGTGAATGTTCGTTGCACTCATATAGTAGAACCAAAGACTCTTAATGAGAGATATGGACCAGTCTTAGTGGGACTCAACCATACAGTGTTTGAAAAAGCACTATGCTGAGTGTAAGTCTTGCATTGATCAGCATGCTCCCTTCAAAATTTAATCAGCCCGCATTATTTTCGATCTTACTCAACCCTCAAAAAATTTCTTACTGTGTGATTTCAGAGTGATTTTTTCTGCAGATATATTCAGTCAGCACGTCGAAGATCCCTCATAAGCTAAGTTTGTAATCACAAATTGTGAGGCCTCAAGTCAGAACAGTATTGCTTGAATTTGCATATACAAATGCTTGCTGCATGAAATGCAAAACCTTCCATTATCAGAGCGATTAATCTACTGCACGATTTTGAAAGCTGGAAAGATTCACAATTTCCTTTTAGAAACCATTAGCAAGGCAGCCGTGGCATAAAAGCAACGCAGTATGATAATCCGTCACAATGCAGCTTTGCCGCCTTTTGTTCCTGCTTCTGTGCGTGCTTGTGTTCATAGAAGCAGCTAAGAAGCCGAACAAGAAGCCAAGAGGCAAGAAGGCAGGAGGCAAGAAGCCAGCACGCAAGAAGCCAGCTCGCACAACAACGAGTGCTCCCGAGACCGATGCTGACGAAGACGGAATGTAAGTTGAAAGATTACATAGTCCTATCAAAAAAAGTTTTCAGTGAATGCGTGCTTTTCAGCTATCTGAAGCCACCAAACAAGAGAAACAAACCCAAGAGAAAACCTTAGTGCTCCATCAAAATATCGAGCAAGGAGCACAACAAATTTCAGCAAATGTTTGCCCTTTTTTATTACACTGAATTACACTGTATACCATATCTGTTCTAAACATAAAACTAGCTCAAAAGTTTCGCATTTAGACGCATCGAAAATTTGGGTGTAAGCCCTTCTTCCTGTAAATACAGTATTTTATGTCACTCTTGAATTCAGTTTTCCACTAAAGTAAGCCGCCAACGCTTTACGCAGGCTAAGATGTTACTGCTAGCCTATAAGTCCTTTGGGACAGTGGCATACCCAGGATATTAGCTCGGGGGGGGGGGGTTAAGACGATCAAATTTTTGAATGAAGGTGCGTGGCGTTAGTCACGCACTCCGGGAAAATCTTGGGTATGTTTCCCAAAACTTTTGCGGGTCTACAACCCAAAAATCCTAGAAGAGGAGGCTAGCCACGAACAGGAAGTAAATTTTAATAAGGCTAGAATTTTTAGAAAATCTTGAAAATGTTTTGATCAATTAGAAGTACGAACAAGTCACTTGCATGTTTTTATAAGTCACTAGTTGGCGAACCCGGCTCCGCCCGGGCTTGTCAATAATATATTTGTAATCAACATGCTCGATTACCACCTTGTGCCAACTCTTGGCCCTGTAGCTCAAATTTTGCAAAAAAGCGATAAAATCGATCGATGACGGAAAGTAGCCTATGACACCCGCCCGGCCCCGAAGTGCATGTGTGCGAAGTTTGGTCCGGATCGGTTCAGAAATGAAATCTTCTATTCGGAATATACGTACATACATACAGACATACAGACATACAGACGGACAAACAGGCACTCAGCTTTATATATTAGGTCGTTCCGAAAGTTCTATCCGTTTTTTCAACATATCATAAAAACACGTGGAATAAAGATAGGGAAACGTTCCAGGCACTATCCGACACAGCTTTTCTTTCTCTTTTCAACGGTTATACCATTGTACCGCTTGCTATTGTGGTCAGTGAGATAATGGCCGAAATTTCGGACCTATAATTTTTATCATGTCCAAATTTGGAAATTTTTCACTATCTTCTTTCTTAACTTTTGGAGAAGCTATGATAGCAGTCAGATAGAGTGAACAATGTGCAATGCAATGGAATTTTTTAGCAATTTCAGCCGGCTTCTCATTATTTTTTTAGATAACTTTTTCAGAAGTCTTCACTTTTTTCAAAGTCACAAAACACACAAACGCTCCAAACATTAACAAATCTTCGGATTTTGAAACTTTCAAAAGTCGATTGCGGTTATTCGCAATTTTTTCAAGCAACTGAGCGTTTGCCGCTTCGAAATATAAGATTTCGCATTTTACGTCTACACCCTTAGGTGGGGTCAAAATCAAGAATTATGGAAATTTTATCGCCTCACAAACTAATAAGAGAAAGTACTCATCAGAAAGAGGAGAAAAAGCTGCATTGAACGACACCTTAGTTGTGCGCCGTTTTATGTTCTTGGCTTTTGGCATCCCCAAAAGTGGAATTTGATAACATCAGATAAATAATTCTAAAAATGTTTTGAGGCTAGCTATAGATGCCGAAAAATTGCATAAAATTGCGCTTTGTTTACTTCATTTGACTGCTATCAAAGCTTTTCCAAAAGTCAAAAGAGAAGATAGTGAAAAATTGCCAAAGCCGGACATGGTAAAAACCATGGGTTCGAAATTTCGGCCATTATCTCACTGATCATAAGAGGAAGCCGCACAGGAGTATGATAGTTGAAAAAAGGAAGAAAAGCTGCGTCGGACAGTGCCTGAATCGTTTCCCTATCTTCATTCCACGTATTTTTGTGATAAGTTGAGAAAAAAGAAAGAATTTTCAGAACGGCCTAATATAAGGTATAAGAATTTCAAAAATTTGCGACCTATTCTCGGGGAGCGACCACCCCTTCGGTACGTCACTGGTTTAGCACGTTTCGGACCGCGAAATCGTTTCGGATCGCGAAAAAAAGAGTGCACTTTCAGCCACTAGCCAACATAGGGACCTTATTTCGTAGACTGTGTGCTACATCTGTAATCAGCAATTCGGATAAGCTCCGTACCCAAAGTTCTGAGTGAATTCGAAGTGTTTTAATTTTGTCGCTTGAGAGGGACTTTTGTGCTTTTTTGAAAGATAGGAACAAGAACTCAGTCTCAAATAGTATTCAAAAGTAACATGTTGTACACGGTACACACCACTACTGAAACTAGGGTTTTTCTTTTAGAAATCGAAGCAAAGAAAAGTTGCGACGTCGCACGCGTCGTTCGCGTTGCCGCACTTCGTTGCAACTGTTGTTTGATTTGTCCTCATATCTCCTAAACAAATATAGGCGGCACAGCTCTACGGAGTCATGTGAAAAGTAGGAACTTAGGCCTTTGACTTGATAACCTCGGTTTAAAAGAAAACCTCCTGTAAACTTCAGAAAGATCCTTCAAAGCAGCGTGCTGCACCATGTGCAGCACCGGTCCGAAACGTGTTGAAGGCACCGCCCACCCACATTCTCGACTTCCATGTTTTGATCGTTCCGGGGTCTTCTCATGTCCTTGATTCTAAATATGAAGTTGAGAATCCGCACTCCAACAATCTCCGTTACGAAAAATTCGCATGCCGACTTTCCGGAACGGTGATTGGCCGGGTGCGCACGGATGGGCGAGCATGGATAAGGAGGTGGCGCCGTCTGGCGGTTTTCGTGCATCTTCGTTATTCCGGGACGTTTTCTTGCTTCAGCGACATTTTGCACTGCGACTTGGGTATTGGCTTGATAAGGGGCCCTTATATCATATGCTGCCAAAAGCTCAAGACCTCAACTTAGGGTAGACGGTACCTTCAAAATCATGCGCTAGCAGGTAAGCTGGAACGTCCATGTGCTAAATACGTTTTTTGTCGTCAATCGCAATCAGTTAAACACTGTCTAACACTGTGTACTTGCGTATACATAACTCCACTTTTTGTTACTGGAGTAGTGTGGAAAAAAATATTATTACTACTTAATCATGATAGATAGATTTGAGTTCGCTCGTCATTAGATCAACTTAACCTAGCTAGACTTAACGTACCTGAAACAAATGAGTTTCTACACATTGCATAATTGTAATAATGCTTACTAAAGCGTCTTTCTTCTGCAAAGCCGTTATGATTGGGATGTCAAACTTCGCTGTTGTCTGTGGTACGTTTTCTATAACCAAGTAGACTCCTTCCTTTAAATCTCGTTTAGTGTTTTGTGTATACTTTCCGCTAACTATCAAAATAAATGCGCGAAGCAATGCTGATGTCAAAGTCTGAAGAAGGGAGACGACAGAACGGCCATGTTGTTTTGACTCTAGTCATCCTCACTAAGTAGACGCACAATAGATGCATTCGAATTCGAACTGAGCAGGCCGGCGGCGACAGATCGCGGCAGACATCGTTTTTAGTTCAAGCTTGCTCATGTTCTTTTCCGTTCTTATTGTTGTTGAACGCTAATTCTTATGTCTTGACGATGTACATAAATCGAATTGACAGCTTTAGTGTTGTTGCGAAGTTCTTTACTTCTTTCATCATTTGTTTACCTCTCAGTTTAGGTAAACATAGCGCGCTACCTCCTAAATAAGAGCTTAAACATGATTCTTTCTGTTTTCCTTGTTGTCCGTATTTTTTATGTCACGAACAATGTTCGCGTAGACTTGTATTTTATTATTTTATTTATTTTATTTTATTGAAATTTTATTGCGATTTTATTGAAACTGAGCAACTCCTGGATTCTGTTTTCAATTGTTCAGCTCTGTCTCAAAATAAGCTTGGAGAAACGACGCAGATGGGTAATTTGTGATATAGAGCTCACTTGAGCAACAGTCCAGCACAAGCTAATCACCAAAAAAGAATGCACAAGCAAAAATTACTAATGCTTATCGTACCTCCATGCATACCTGAACTCGGGGGCAAACAAACGAGAGACTGCTCAGTAATACAAAAATTGTCAATTTTGACCAGGTACGTTGTTAAAACACAAGAAGCAGCGTTCGTTAACAAAAAAAACAAAAAAAACAAAGTTGAGCTCGAACTGAGGGTTTAGAATGCCGCGCTCTACCGCAACCGCCCGAGTTTGGATTGAGAGTGAGGGCATTATCACTTACTTCGTTTAGAGCACCCTGAGATTATGGATATCGTACCAACTTGTTATGCGCTACAGGATGACAGTGGAGAAGGAGAAATACGCCAAGCATGATGAACTGTGTCATCAAGCTTCAACCACAAAATAAACGGGCTTTGATAGCTCGCTGCTATCAGCGTTGTAAGAATTCCGCATTACACTTGAAGGCAATTTTTCGATTTTGAGGTTTTGTGCTTGCCTTACCCGGGCCTATTCGCTAAGCTGAAGCCAAAAACCCACGCTGAAAATCGCGAAAACGTCGAAATGGGCTCTAACGCAGGAGGGAAGTCAGAAGTGGGCGGGATCTTCCCCACTGTGATTTCACGGTCCCAGCTTTCGGAGCGATCTTCTCAATCACATCAACAGCCCTGACATCTCCACAGGCCAAGTGCGAATACGCGAGTTGAAACCGAAAGCGAAAAAATGTTTCGGAAGCTGGGAGCGTGAAATCACATTGGGGAAGACCCCATACACTTCTGACTTCCCTTCTGCGACGACGACTTTTTTTAGACGGTTTCGTGTTTCTCACTGTGGATTTTTGGATTCAGCATAGCGAATAAGCTCAGGTAAGCATAAAATCTCAAATGCGACTTCTTGCCTGGACCCTGCCTTCGATAACTCCTACTCAAACTCGATTTGTAGCTAAAGAAGGCTGTTTTGGAACTAGCTCAAGCTGCTTCAGATAATGCTCTATGTCAAAAGGCTACTGCTACCTGTACTTCCCTCGTAAATTGAATTTGTCTGCTTTTCGTCAAAGCTGGATAGTGAATCAACCAACATGACGTGGCATGGTACATGTTGACCACCAAATCTACAATGAGATATATTTCTAACCTATGCTCGCACCAGTTATAAGCAGAGTAGAGTACAAAAGATATTAGGTTGTAACAGAATTAATGCAGGTTTTAAATTTTCCAACCGCAATAAGTCATTCATTTCTCATTTCTAAGTAGGTTGCAAAATACCATTCGATAGAGCAAAGCA